CATAAACTTGATCTTCATGGTGCGAAATTTTTTAAATCTTAATTTGGTAAAAATAAAGTGCCGTTGTTACTTAAAACGACGGCCATTAAATTAAGGTGGAAGTTTTTCCTTGAGCGTCGTAAGAAAAGGAATGAACTGTTATTATTTTTTGTATTGTTTTAATTTTTATTGCTACCTATATAAAATTGAAAGATTAATAAGGAATATTTCTTTTATCTTTTATTTAATTTTTTATTTCATTCAATGAAGCCTCCGTTTTGCAAGGAAAGTGCTAACTGCTCAAAGCTGCTTTTGTCAAATCTTAGATAATTTGACTTCGGGTTTATCTCATTTAAAAACCAAAAATTCTGGTCGTTTTTGTTCATAATTTTTTTTCCGAATCCTTATTGCAGTTGTTGTCGAAGTTAATATAATATAACTTGTTATTTCTTTTTTACCACAGACAATTCTGCCCACTCAGGCGCGTCTTGTAAAAATCCCGCTGAATATTCGGAAGAAATACTTATAGGCATCTTTTAAGTTTAATAGTTAATAGTAGTTTAAGTTTATACTAGCTAATCGAACTTGTGCAATTTGAAATTTTTTTTTCAAGTTTTATAGTAATGGTTATAACGGTTGTTTTCTCAATGGCTGTAATCTCATATAAAATTGAATGAATGGCCCCAAAGACATTAATTAAAAAAATATGTCCTGATGGGTTAATGATCCATCGGTTACAAAAGTTAAGTCATGGTGTGGGAAGTCGTCTACCATCGTTAACTTGCTATCGGAAGCCGAGAGCTCGCGATCATCTCCGCGAGTTCTAGATAAGGCAGTTGGCTGGTTTTACTATACCAAACACTCGTAAATCTCCCCTTTACGAGCCTGGAAAATAATGAGCTACTTCGCCTGAGAACGGTAAGCTTCGAATTTGGCAATTATTATAAATCATGGCTAATAAATAGTGTTTTAAGTTGTGGTGAGATCTTTGGAGGAGTGAACCTGAATGTAGCTGGTCATCACTGATCATTAGTGCTAGTACTACTTTCTTGACAGCATTACGAAACGTATAACAACAAAAACGCCGATAATAAAGTTGACAACTCTTATTTAACATTCTCAGAAACTAATGAAGTAACATCAAACATATTGAAACCAAAGGTTGTTCTATAGTTTTAGAATAACAATTAAAATTAAATACTAACTGACATGTCAACATCTACAGCACAAAAAATGAACATTTTGGTCAAGTCTGCGAGGTGAAGAACGTGCCGGTGGATCATCGCTGTTATCTGACATCCCTAAACCAACAAGACAGACACACATTTGCACTAATATTCAATACAGCTGAAGAATGAAAAATACAAAATAAAATTAAAAATAACATAAAACAATAGACAGTAATGTATACAACCTTAACTTTGGTAAGGTCTGGTAGTTGAAAAAACGCGAATTGCCGCTGGCAACGGGCACTCGCAGCACGACAGACAAGAAAGACACATCTACACGGAAAACAAACACATTGAGCACTGAAGATGATCTCAATAAAGATCGAAACGTTGACCCGATAAAGAAAATGTTTTTCTAAAATCTTCGTCACACCAGACCGCATCTCTCGATCTCCAAATAACAAACAACAATAACATAAAAATTAAAATAAGCAATGATTAAATCAGGGAACAGAAGTAAAATTTCAGACCTATGTTATCTATCTCCTTTTATCACCGACTTCTATAGGTTGCTTGAACGTTTATTTACGATAGGGGGACGATCAAACTACAAGTTCAGAATAAATGCCGAATTTTAAATTTAGTCCAGGCAGATCAAAATGATCGGCAACGACCAAAATTCAAGTTCGTCACCTGCAGTCAAAGTGGAGAAATTGCACAATTTACTTGCAGAATTGACAACATATTTACACATAACCTTTTTTCTGCTGTGATTACATACACACACACAAACACACAAAAAATCATAATGGATACATTATGTGCCAATATTGGTAGTTTTTTTACTATCAATAATTGAACAGTCACATAAAAAATCCAAGGGGAACAGGATCCTTTTAAAATATTTTCGGTGAGGTTGTACAGGTGAGAGGATAAGTTACACCAACGCACGTAAGTTGAAATAATGAATGAAGGATCAGAGCTATGATTATACAAATATTTATACTTAGTATAATCGAAATCACGTTAAAAGCAGATGAAAGTTGTTTGCATTTAATTGCTCTCTATAGGGCGAAGTGATCCGAGTCAAATTAGTTAACACCTTCCCCTCATAAATAAATGAGAAAATAATGTTTAGCCTTGAAAGTCGTTGATTTTTGGCAAATTTCTGTGAAACTATTTAAAAAAAAATCCTGTTTTAATTGACAAAACTAAATGAGATAGATGACCCAATATTATATTTAGAAAATTAAGTTAACGTTAAACGTTAAAAAGTTAACGTTAAATAATGATAGCGATATATCGAACGATAAAGTCCAACGGTTATAATCGAGGAAAAAACACAGATCGTTATAAAATCGAAGAATTAATTGCGAACTTTGCCGAAGAAGGTCAATAAATGTCAAATGTCGGCTTCGTTAAGAACTTTCGTCACGTTACGGCACGATACTTTTTATCCATAGGCTGAACAATGGACTATTTCATAAGTTATCATCTCGGTAAATTTACCGAGTCACATGTATATGGTGAAACCTTTTTAATTGAAATGCGGTACGCAAATAATATTTTAATGATAAATAACTTCTTTCTGGCATTTCTCAACATTTGTCTTTGTGATAAAATTTCACAATCATTGTACTTACATTGTACCAACGACTTGACAAATAACTCCATCAAAAGTTATTAAAATCTAATATTATTTGTTTCAGCTTTACCATATTTCGAGTATTAGTAATTCTAATATATAAAAGCCGTTGAACTGACTTAGAACAAGCATATAGTAATTCCGAAGCATGCTGCGACAACCGGATTTGGTCAAAAGTGATATTATTTTGCAAAAACACGACCTGCTTCAAGAAATCTATTAAAAATGGAAAACATTTAAGCAAAAGTTTTGAACCTTACGTTATAAATTCGCGTGAAAGTACAGGAAAAGAAGGAAAACACGCAAAGGGACAACGATGACCTCAGTTATTAGTCGGCCCATAAACCTTCCACATTACATTTATGTTATATTTGATACAAAATCTTGCTTACAGTATAAACCATTTCTTGTGAGAAGAATGGGCAACTTCATCAATATCTAAATGCAGCTGTACCATGTCTTGGTTGGCAACATGGCAACTTAATCAATGACTTATTTTGATTTCCAAAAGCCTTCAGGGTTTTGTGTAGTACATGTACGTGCGCGCGCACGTGTGTGTGTGGTTGGTTTGGTATTCAAAAAATTTTCAACCTTGGTGTTACACGTGTACTTTTTACGTGTCACATTATATAATTTATTTAAAAAAAAAATGTTTCTTCTTGGCATGAAACAAACGGAATATTTACAATGTACGAGAAGTTCTTTTTGTAGCACAACAGTAATCTTTTACCAGGCAATGTTCAGAGATCAAAATGTAAACAAAAATCAGAATTAACCGAAATGAATCGAACATATATGAGTACCTTAAATCTTTCACTATGGCACAAAATAGTAAAATTGAAGACGTCTTTCTATAAGCGCACTCCTTTTCGTATTCAGGGGTTATCTCCTCTTTTTTTCAATGTGTTTGCGATGATCGTCCCCTTTCTTCCACAGTGCAGATTCCTTTCTCCAGAACGATCATCACAATCATATTAAAAAATTACAGCGATTTGTGAAAATGTCGTGTTTGATTTTTCATGTGCTACGTTTTAACTAAGCACTAAGCATAGCAAGCAACACCTATAAAAATCTACGGCTTTTGTAAATGTATTAATTTTATGTTTTAAGCTATAACGCAGCGATGCTATGTCATGGTTGGTAAAAATTACAACTTAAAACCATAAAGGTTTTTAATATAACTTCACCGTTGTTGTATATACTTGAGTGTGATTGTGAATTTCTGTCTATGTACCTTTTGAATATTTTTATTTTACGCAGCAATATCCTGTTTTGATTTGGGTTAAAATGGAATGTGGAGAATGCGTCCCTATCACGGGGTGTGCCATTACTTATAGATTTCTTATTTTAAATTTGAAAAAAAGTTTTGAAATAGGTGATCCCAAATCCGTAGCTTCACCCTTATGAGTAATAAATATTAACGTAGTGATTTCCTGATTTGGTGGCTGGCTTTTAGAGATGAGTAGACAGTTTTAGACTTTTATTACAGACTTTTAGACAGTTTCGAACAAAACACCTTTCGATAAAAATGAAAAATTGACTAGGTAACCAAAGAGAATTGTCGATACGAAGGATAGTGCTTGTCTAAGTTTAATTGCTCTGCTAAATAACTTTTCTCTGGAATTAAATAGGTATCCTGATTCTATCTCATCATACGATTTCTCGATTTTTTCTCCATAAATTTATAGGATAATCATTTTTGCTTTGGGTTGTGTTTAAAAAATGTAAAGGGAGTATTATCAAGTGGGAAGCCTCGACCTGAAGACTACAAAACAGTTAAAAAAGTTAAGTTAAAGTTAAGAAAACAATTTTATTTTAATAATCTTGATTTCTTGGTAATCGATTTCGTTTATTGCTGATCTTAACGTTTGGAAAATGTATTTAAATGATAAAACTTCTAATAATTATAAATAAAAGGATATATATTTATTTACAAACATTAAAAAAGTCTTTAAGAATGAGCATTGGTATTTTGTGATGCTAATTTTAATACTTTTGACAAGAGAGCTGAAAGAAATATAATATATGAGCTTGCGGTTGGTTTAATATTACCGCCTTAATTACCGACCTAGTTGCTAATTTAATTTAAAAAATATTATATTTACACTTTCATAACATTTATAAAATAAATAACTTTTAACAACAAATAATGTTCATTTTAAAATAATAAATCATTAGACACTGATTGTAACAATTTTCAATTCTTTATAAATTTAAAGCGTGAGTTTAATAAATTAACAACAAGAAAACTCGCGTCGTAACAATTTATGTATATATACAAGCGTTTGTCGTATCACAAAACTTCCTATTCGAACTTAATATTAAAAATAATTATAAAATATTTGTAATTATTCAATAAACTAAGCTATCACCTGAAAGATCACTTTTTGATTGTTTCTGATATACTTAAGTACGATACAATAATTAAATTTAAAAGTAAAAAAAACACATTAAAATAAAATGGCACAATTATCATGTATTTACACCCAGTTGTGGAGAGTTGGGTTCGGATGGCAACGGAGGGTAAGGTTGCGGTGGGTTCGAGGCAACTCCGTTGTTGACGTTGATCTGAACATCGACGACACCGGTAGACGTGCATTTTTTGTAATGGGTCCTCATATTACTACTCTGACTGAATTTGAGGCCGCACTTTTCGCAGGAATAGGGTTTGACTCCGGTGTGGTAGTTCATATGTGTCTTGAGGTGGTGCTTTTTCGTGAAAGACTTGGAGCAGACCGTGCAAGAGTACGGTTTGATACCGGAGTGTAGTCGCATGTGGAGGGTCATGTTGGACCTGTCGGCGAACGCCTTCTGACAGACCACGCAGGAAAAAGGTTTCTCGCCCGTGTGGATCCGCAGGTGCTGCTTCAACAGCATCTTCCGCGAAAAGGATTTGCCGCAGTGTGGACACTCATGCGGCTTCTCGCCCGTGTGAATCCTCACGTGCATGTTGTAGGCGACCCTCTGGTTGAAACTTTTCCCGCAGTACTCGCAGCCGTATTCTTTCCTATTCCTGTGAATTTTCATGTGTGAGCTGAGGTATCCTCGGTCGTTGAAGTATTTCCCGCATTCCGGGCAGGTCGCGGCGAACTCACGGGTCCCTTCGTGGACCGATCGGTGGTACTTGTAATTCCTGAGTTGAGAAAACTGTTTACCGCACTCGAGACACTGGAATGGCTTCTCTCCCGTATGTGTTCTCATATGGACCTGAAAATTACCAAATTTAACCATGTTTAGAGAGGTAGATGGGGTTTGAGAAAGCCATTAAATAAATTAAAAAAGGGTTTTAAGGGTAATTTGATATGGGTAATAATCATACAGACTGAGCTGCATTTATTTGCAAATAAAAAATCTTAAAAATTAATAAATTAAATTTCTAGTTGCTTACAATAAATCAAGAATCTGATGAATATAATGTCATTATTCTATTATATTGATTGAATTAATGTTACTATTAATTGAAATAATTAATATGGACAATTATGCTTTGTAGATTTATCGACCAACTGATGCAGATCGTGTTCTCTTGGTTGTTATCGGGGATGTGGTCAAATAAACCGTCCCTGAGAAAAACCTCACACTAGATATTATTGTTTTTATTTGTGTTTGTATTTTTACTGACTATGGTATTATATAAAACTAGTCTAGCCATTTTATAGTTGAACAGGTGAAGAAAAAAGTGAAAAGGTTTTCAGTGTTTACACGAAAATAAAAGAATTTAAGTTTATATACTTCTGTTTAAAATCAGAAAGTATAAAAATGTGTGTCATGTTCTTATATATATTTGATGTTAAATTGGCCAAAATTAAAATGTATAATATATTTTTTTGGAAGAGGCATGAAGAAGGTACAATAAGTTCTGAAAGCTAGGCGGAGATTTAAAATTAAAAATATTTTATTTGACCACATCCCAGGTAACAACCAAGAAAACATTATGGTCAATTATGACCACTAAACATAAATGGATTAATTTTATTATTTATTGACCTGCTTCGGTTGTACTCTGGTTTCTAACTAAACAGTATTGGCTTAATACCACTTAACCAATAATCCCAAACCAGAGTAAACATTACATTGAAAGCTTGACATCTACCCTGTTTAGATAATAGCAAATAATGGGATTTAAATATTATTTTATGTTACAAGAAGAAAACTCTTGAAGAAATTATAATCGAGAAGGGTTTGAAAAAAATTCCTAGTTACCTTTAGGGAAGCTCTTGTAACGAAGACTTTACTGCAATGTGTGCATGAGTGTTCTGGCTTGGGCGACTCATGTAATTTGACGTGGGCACTCCAGTGGCCCCTGTGGGAGAACTGCTTGCTGCAAATGCTGCACGAAAAAGGTTTCCCCTCGGGTAGGCCACCTTCGTTATTATTCCGGTCGTTGACGAGATCCACGGGGTTCGCCCGTTCTTCCAAGAGTCCTACCAGCGATTGAAGCGGGCTCGGGTCTTCTTGCTTTACCTCCTTCTGGTGGTTGCTGAAGCTATTGCTGCCTAGGCTCAAATCGCTCGGCTCCTCCTCGCTCTTGGCGATGGCCTGTTCCCTGTAGAACTCCTGCAGCCGCCTTTCTTTCAATTTGCAGAGTTTGACTCCGTTATTTTTACCTACTGATGGTTCCTCGATTTTGACTTGCGGCTTCGTTTCCTCCACACAAGGTAACTGTTTAATTTGTACTGGTGGACTCATCCTTTTCGTCTCCTGAAACAACCAAAAAAACAAACAAAAAAAACAATTACATCAAGTTTAATTTATTAATATGTAATATTATATGTAAACTAAATGAGCAAAGACCACAATTCAAAGAAACTAAAATGTGGGAGGAAGAACGGTTTCTATTAAATCTTTGAATGTATAAATAACCTTATTCAGGAAAGTTAAGATTAAATCTTATATTTTGAAGATTTATAAGGTTTTTTAGTTACGAGTTGGATACCCAAAGGCCAAAATCATCATAGTATCCTCTATCGCTAAAGATTCGCGTATACCATTAAGCGAAGGATCATTTTAGAGCTGTGATTGATGGTGCCGACAAGCAGGGTTGTATTTAACGAATTAACCGATAATACGTTAATAAAATAATCTTGTGGGAAAAAGAGCCCGGGGAACGCTGATTGCCGCACCGGTGCTAGAATGTACCTAAAGGTCATGTTACCTTTTTTCGCTTCCTTTAATGGGTGAAGTCCGGGTACCATGAGCAATTTGAAATCCTTAAAGAGCACATCGGATACCCAATCCGATTCAGAAAATTAAAGAGCTTCTCGGTAGAAATGCACGAGTTATGAAATTGAAAATGTTCCTTTCAAAGAAGGGCATTTAAAAAGAACTTAGAACATCCCATTTTAGAAGATTGCTTGGTGATAAGGTAGGCAAAATGCACTTTCACAAAACCAAGTGTTTAACTTGTTAAGATTAAATAGGTCAATCCTAACCTAGTAATACAAAAATTAGCAGACAGGAAAAGTTAGAAACAAAAGTAATTTAACTATCATCATCAAAATCAGACCCTTTATTTCAGCAACTGGTAATGACCATTTGGAAAAAAATACTCATACTGTACCACGCTTCTCTTCAGTTTGAAAATATGTAAACAATTTCCTTTTCCAGGTTGAATTCTTAAAATAAATTTATCTACACTTGGTTATGAATAAAATTTCCTCTCAAAGCGGTTGTTTACGACCGTCCCTTTTAGTAAGATCCGGCTGATTGAATGGGTACGGCTATTACCAAGTGTGAATATTTATTCATCAGAGAAGAATGATTCTATTGAATAACAAATGAATTATTTTATACCCAAATATTTACTTTCTATAAATATTACCTACTACTGCAAAATAATTTAATGACCCCCATATTTTTTCGCGCCTGTCAAACCCTCTGGGATTCGATCAGATCAAAAGTTGTAATACCGCTATATTTTATTACACTTTTAGGTACAATATAAATTTTTATCTATAGGATTTATTGTTTCGCGGGTATTCTGGATTCTTGTGCACACTGATCTAATATTCAAAAAGAAAATAGGGAATAGATGCTTTAAAAATTATTTGAAAAATTGATAACAGTCTCAGAATTCTTGGACGATCTTGCAAAATCCTGACTCATATTTTTACTACGCTTTACTTTTACAAATAGTTCAAACAAGCAACAACAGAAGCGGGGGCGTCGGTGGCTACAACGGTTTAGGCGTTGACACGGTGCTCATCATTGTAAGGTAAAGATCCCAGCGGCACTGCATTTGAACTCGACATACTCAAATGGGCTTTTTTTCAAAAACGCCGGCACCCCGAGGGTTGATAAAGCCTCTGCTGTTGCTACGTGAAAGTAGCTTGTTTTGTGGATTTAATGTGTTTCCTCCAAACATTCCTGGTACATATAAACTATCTCTATTGTTGTATTACCTTGTTCTATTTTATTCTTGTTAATGTTACGCATGACATGGAAAAATATTATTGAAATGTACCAAGAAACTGGAAAAACGGCGGAATTAATTAAAATCTTTCCATATTAACGTGTTAATATCATATGTACAGTCTTGTCCATTCTCACGCAAGGATTTTTTAATTTCTTTATCTTAATTTCTTTAAAGTCTTCGTACAACTTTTTTCTCCTCGGTTGTAACGGCAGGGCTTATCTAGAGAAAGAGTGCTTGGTGCAGTTTTAGAGTGTGTAGTGTGCAGTAGGCGTATCTCGTTGCTATCTCTCTTCGACGGTTGATTAACATAATGACCAATTTGCCATACCGAAGGCGATGAACGCCTGAGGCTTGGGCTGAATCATCAGCAATAACGCTTCTGAATAGTAATGATTGTTTGAAAACTTGTTTATTTATTAGTATCAGTATCAATCAGAAATTTTTTTTACATATCACCCTATCTGAATATTCACGATTGAATTCTTGCAAAACGTCATATTAATTATTATTACGTAATCCATAAAAAATTACGTTAAAACTAGCTTACTCCAAAATCATTCAGTAGAGCTTGTCTTTCCTAGTTTGTCCTTAAGCACTCGTCTATGTATGATTTTTTCTAATAGTTTTCCTGAAAGATTTTAATTTCTGCAATAAACTACAGAATTCTACTCAGTGTTATGGTATGGAGGTCATCATTACCCAGGAATGGCTTTCCTCAGCGTCAGCGTTTTCTTAAATATAGCAGGACAGTTGCTTAGGATTTTCTCCGTAGTCTTTGTCTACTCTAGAAATAGTACACATTGGTCTCATATGTTAATAGTCATTTTTCTTAAAATGGTATAATTATGATATTACAAGATATTGCCCTTACATTTCAGAGTTTTTAGTTCCTTTCTGTTGAGTATGATTTTCTCTTTGTCCATTGGATCTTACGTTGACTTATGTCTCATAACTGGCGTACGTCAGATTTGTTGTGTCTCTTAACTGTTCAGGTTCCAAAAAATGCATTAGCCGTGTGTGTTGTTTACCTACCTTTTTTAGGTAGTAGGTCTGCTGCCTTGTCTGAAATTCCTCATGACCTGGACCAAATTTATATCGTTAAGCTATTTGTAGATCTTAGTTTTGTCCAGACTAGTTTTGAGTTAATTCTGTAGGCTTTCAGAGCTGCCTGGCTATCTCTTAGTATTTTTATGTTTACTCCATGTTTTCTATTTTTTTCATGTACACATGTTTCTGTGTTTAAAGGCTCGAAAGATAGTTGTAATGGATCTCAGTGCCATTAGTGCTCGTAGACCCCTATATGCTCATTCCCGTCCCTAGTGCCATGTTTTAGACGCATGCATACCAATGAAGCGCTAGAAGTTTTTCTTTTGTTGATGCTTGTTAAAATACACTACGTTACCATATAAAATTAGACATTTCTAAAACAGATCCTTGTAAAACTTAAGTACAACTTTTCTGTTAAGCTTGAGAAAAAGTGTGTAAATGGGACTGCGGTAACGAGTAGTTAGATCGTCAGAATATCTTCTACTAGACCCGGACATGGTTTCGATTCCCACTGTCGCCTCTGAAATTTTTGACCTCTCCCCAAACTACTATTTATCTACATATGTGGTAGACTCCACGACACTTAAGACAATGCGTTTATAAAAGGTTTAACAATTTCTTGTTTGAGTTTTAGTTTTTATCATTGATTAATTGCTATTTGGCCAAGACAAAATCCAGTCCTAAAGTTTTCAGTTTGTTGATATAAATAAACTATTTGATTCATATTGAAATAGAAATGCTAAAAAAGGTCACAATTTGAAAATTTAGTTGGAGATTTGACGCTGTCCGAAACGTCCAATGTTATCAACGCGCGTACAAATCATCACGCCTCATTATTAAATAATCACCAATTCTGATAAAAAAGCAATTGAATCCATGTGTATGCGGTAGGTGTTGTCGGCTCTGCAGGGAGTATTAATAATCCCTGTAAATTATCCGGGTGGCCCTTCTCGATTTATGTGAAAGAAAGATATGAAGACTAACTTATTGATATTTACGCCCCTGGTCGATATTTACGATCCGACTTTCTGGCCCAATTACAGGCCTTTGCTGGCCGTGTCTCACGAAAAGGGCTTCGGTTATAAAAAATTATTAACGGACTTTTAAATGATTTTTCCCCCGGAGCTGTTCGTCTAATTGGTTGTTGTGGCGTCAGTGATCCGATCCAATTGCGAATTTCGTCTCGTAAAATAAAGGAAGCCGGTCGTAAATGCAAAATTTAGAAAAAAGCCGGCTTGTAATTTTATACGACGAAATAATCGTCTACTGCTTCAGAATATTGTACTGACGTAATTTGAGAAAGTGTAATTTTATCTTCCAAATTTGAAAGGTATTTTTTCAATTTATCTGCATTTACACTCAAACCTTAATTGAAATAATTAAACGCTACAAAAACTAATAATCGAGCAAATGTTCATTTGAATGTTAAAGAGGATTGGAAAGGTAATTGGACTTAGCAGCAAGAAAGAAAACGCTATAGAAAAACTCTTTCACTCACTCACCCAGCCATGCTCATTCTTTCTATTTTTAAACCACGTATCTACAAATTAATTCATGATTTTATTTATTGGCAGAAAACAATTTTTTTTACTCGACTAGAGGTAATTAAAAGTGGGAAACCTGTCGTGGAGAGAAATGACACCGACCGTTAGTCACTCCCACTTAACTATGGATTCATTATAAAGACGGTATGAATGGATGGAAACCACTTCCGTAAAAGTTGAATTTGGATCGAATCAGTTAATCAAACCGGGTGGAAAAAACGAGAGAGAGAAAGATAGATAGATAGATAGATAGATAGATAGAGAGAGAGAGAGAGAGAGAGAGAGAGAGAGAGNGGAGAGAGAGAGAGAGAGAGAGAGAGAGAGAGAGAGAGAGAGAGAGAGAGAGAGAGAGAGAGAGAGAGAGACAGACAGAGAGACAGAGACAGAGATAGAATAGATAGAAAGAAATGTTAACAATCTTATGTAAATAACGATTTCCGTTTTACTCTGAACGTTTGAAATCCCTCATGTTCGTAATGATCAAATGAAATATCTCAAGAAGAAATGGAGAATTAAATGTTGGAATAAGGTTTTAAAACAGGCTGTAACCTTACTTCAAAACATGTTAATTTTTAAAATTTACGAAGCTTGCTGCGATTTGTTATAAAAATTTAGATTTCTGGTGTTACTGCGATTAATTGTTATTATTTGGGACACAAGTTTGACATTTATTGACCGATGACTATAGCCATTCA